TCGATCGAATTGCTAATGAGCTGCTATCAATATGGAGGTTCATTAAGACTGTTGAATGCCATTGAGATCACGAACCAAACTAAGTTAAGCATCTATTGAAAACCTGGAAGTATTGGATAGCTGTTTTATTCTAGCATGGGACTTCTAGGCAGTACCTATCTACGACCCAACGACCGGGAATCAAACCCAAAGTCCTCAGCCTCTCATTCGAGTGCTTAATCATGGAGTCATAATCCAATAGTGTATGTGTATAATTTCACTCAATCCGCGATAATGCAAAAACATCTTTCGTTATCTTCTGTGGATACCCTCCTCTTGCTCAATGTACTAGGATGAAATGGCCATCTGATGCTTTCAGGTATCCAATGTTTTTCTAACTTAGCTTGGCTTGCTATCTCGATAACAAACAGATACTACGTGAAGCTTAATGATGAAAATATGCGAATTCTAATGATACAGACATAAATAAAATGAATTGTTAGATGTTAAAATCTAAAATATATAAAGAATAGGCTGTTGAAATTGGTTGAGATAAAAATCAACTGATAGGTTAATGTCTCTTGATTAAGAGTAACAATTTTTGAATGTAAATAAGAAAATTTTTAAGATTGTTACATTTCGTTCCATGGATGTGGTTATTTTGAAGTAATTTTCTTATTTACGAAATGAAAACATAGTGTAGCAGAGTTTATTTTATATTTCATCTTTGCAACATGATGATAGAACCAAACAAGGACATCGCCATACATTGCAGATATTTATTTCATCAAAAACATATCCATTTATGGAGAGAATTTAAGTGAGCTACAGTTGAAGTTAAATTCGTTCATAAAAGGCTTTAGTGATTCTTTTCAAGAATAAATAATATACTGTTCAAAATGTTAATTTAGCTGATGGATTGTCAACGGTAGCATTACTAGTTTCAATATATAATTGTTTATTTAATTCAAACTGAACATCGTTGGCAAATAAATTCAACAATCTAAGAAGGAAAGATATACTTAATGGGATAATCGATAATTTTTGTATACGTAGTTATCAATTTCTTGAGATTCTACATTTTATTTCATGAAAAAATTACATGTAAATTATAAAATGCTTCCGTCACCCATCCATGCTGTCAATTTTTGTAGAGATGGAAAGGAATGTGTCATTCTTTACTTTACATAGAGCCCACGTATGTTATACATCCTTGTAAAGACAACTCATTATTCACATGATATGTTCCAGTGGGTTACTTAGTTTATACATTTCTGAATGTCCTTATAACTTTGTATCATTTAATCAGTTTACTGACTTTAAAGGTCGATCGAACAGTTCTCGCAAAAACGAATGATTCCATAAAGCTACCGGCTTGTGCAATGGGGGGAAATCCTAGGCATCAATGGGAAGATCCAAACAACCAGTATATACAAACCATAAAAGTCGTAGTATTTACAAACTACTAAGCTAACCGCAATCAGATAGCAATGTGTCATTCAACAGTATATTGCGATATATCGCTAATTATCAGTATTAGTGAAGATAATGTCTTTGAAGAATGTGGTATTAATGTAGCTAATGATAAGTTTCTGACTGAATCAGAGCCAGACAGCATAGCATCTGAAGTACCGAAGTCAAATATAGAGGCAACTGTGAAGGTGTTCCACATTCTCTCTAGAATGATTGGAGGGGAAAACAACTGTCAACAGATTGAAAACAGGAATACATCATCGAGATACCGAAGTGTGTGGACTACAGAGGCATCATACCGTTGTCAGTCCCACGCATAATTTTCAACAGAGTTGCTGAACCAAATGATTCAGTAGACACCTAACTTTGAGATGAGAACTCCGGATTCCGTAGGGACTGATTGTGTACCGACTGAATAGAGGCACTAAGAATCATTATTGGATAGTCAACTAGGTGGAATTCATCAATATACATCAACTTCCTTGACTTTGAGAAAGAATTTGACAGCGTTGAAAGTGGAACTTCATGGAATCTTTTTCGACACCATGGTGTACCTGACAATGTTGCCACCATCACATGGAACACCTACGAGGGATTGAATTGCATAGTCGTGCATGGAGGACAGTTCACGGATACATTCCAAATAATAAGTGTGTCAGACATGACTAACAACTATCGTCTTTCCTCCTTCTCCCAGGTGTTGACTGGGTTGTGCAGACCTCCATTTTTCAGGTAAATTTTGAAATACAGTGGGCACTTCTATTGCATATACAGCAACAAATGCAGGCGAAGACAGCCAGTGTAGTAGTGGCTTCCACAACGGTAAGCCTGAACAATCACAAGGAAAGAAGTAGGTGCCTGAAATACGACATAGTAAGCACCAACCATGTACCATTTGACAGTGTAACTATCAAAGAAGTGGAGGCCTTTACATACCCGAATAGCGTCATCCATAAACACGAAGGATGTGATGCAAACGTCAGGGGACGAACTGGCAAGCAAGAGTAGTATTCCTACAGTTGAAGAATGTTCCGGAATAAAAGATTATTTCATTCAATATATAATTAATTACTCAACCAGGTGATTTATTAACCAGTATTTATACAGATATTTAGTGTGGATTTAATGAATGTAGGTTTTGGGTTTTGCGTTTCTTAAATATTCTATGAATTTTAATGTTTTTTGATAAACAGTATCTGATGTAAGCTGTAATTGAATAAGAACAATTTGATTGTGTAGTCATTAATAACATCTCTAAAATTCTACCTAGGAAGCTCACAGCTAGAAGTTCTATGGATTGATTTCATGCATTGATTTACTTTATCTGAACCTATCATCAGATCACTACTGCCGAAGCTAATACTCAACTAGTAGAGAGAGATGAAATTTGTAATTATCATTTAAACTATCTCACGTGGTGTTTATCAACGGCCTCATCGTTTTTCATAAAAATGCTCCCCTAAAAACTATACTTCTAACCCTTACAGTGTCGACACCATGTCAACATCAGGCTATGATGAGCAAAATACTGAGTAAAGGGTTCGTTTCACTTATCTAACGGAAGTAAAAACCTAATAAAAGACAATTGGAAAGTTAGTATTCAGAATGAATTTTACACATCAACTCAGTGTTCTTAGGTAGATACTGACAGTATACGGAATCTTTTGATCACCTTGAACAACAATGCGAGGATGTTTTGATTACATTCCTCTCTATCTAAATTAAAAAGTTTGTATCGAGACTTGCCTGTCATTCATTTTCTATATTGATCATCGAGAGCAAAGCACTTGAGTGTGTTGATCACTTCACTTATCTTTAGATTCTTATCATCCTAGGTGGGTTGATGTTTGATGAATTATCTGCACGCACATAGATAGTTTTATCATTTTTTTTATCGATTTGTATCACTAGTGGCGTAAGCAAGACATCTTTTTTTCTATCAAACTGAATGATGAATACACTTTATAGGAATTTGGCCTGTTCTATCCTGAGTATGATTTATGACTTTTAAAATTGTATGACATTCACAGATCTCAAGTATTTAATCATAAGTGTTTTTTAATGCATTGGTTGTGTATTTTGGGACCGTTGAGTTATCAATCTTGAGATCGGACCCAAGGTACCAGGTCAACATGCTAAATCGGTTGACGAGGTAGTGAACCTTCGTTGACTGAGGCGGTTAGGACGTTTGCTCAATCATTGCCTACCTCAAAGCGCGATGATGGCTGGTATCGGAGTAGGTTGAGAGAAAGATAAAGGCAACCAAACCAAAACATGTGGTCAGTCTCTGTAGTTTTTGACTTGCAGACAGCCGTATTAGTAAGTGCAATAGGCCTCGTTGGTGTCCGCGTGGTTAACGTGATCGATGGTTGGAAACTTTGGGTAACTTGAGTCAGATAAATTTACTTTTTGTCTACCTGTAGATGCTAACGTTCAAATTTATGTCGTACCTTTTATTCTTCAAACATATTCATTTTTCGCATATAATATTCGTTGCTTCTATTTTTTACTATCACTAACACTGCTACTACTTCTACTGGTTTGGTTTCCAGGTGAATAATGAACTTTTCTAATATGGTCATAGGTCCTTCAAGGTTGAAGTTTAAGGTCAGGAGCGATGTCCAGGTCTATTATATATATATATATATATATATATATATATATATATATATATGGCTACTCCGTTTTCTCATCCACATGTGAGTATTTTTCTAACAGTTTAACATCTTTCAGATAGTTAATGACATTTCCATTATTAGAAGTAATCATTATATGGTCCACAGTCAACACCTTGGTTTAATATGATTCGAAAAACTTTGTTCAAGATTGGCTTACACGCTTTGACCTTGAAGTCACTTTTCTGATCCTGAATGGTTCTACATTACATTTGAGGCTTACCGACACTCATCTCGATAACTTTACTCCACTGTGTTGATCCTTTGTTGCATGTCAAACCTGCGCATATATTTACCAGATTCCGCTGTGCGTTTGACTGACTACAGATAATTAGAGCCAATTCTTCGAAACAGTCAGTCAGATTAAAGCCTTCCCTGGTTATGCTAGTTTATTATCCCCTGTAATCGCTTTGTTATTATTATTATTAATGGCTTTATTCAATTAATGGTGACTCAATTGGTCTCTGCAAAGCAAAATATTTAACATGAGTCTAGAGTGATATACTCCGGTCTCAGACTTAACTACATATAAATGTTCCTAATTCTAACACAACCAGAACTCTCCCGAGTAAGAAGCCAAGCAGAGTAGGAAGTTCTATCGAGAAAAGATAGTTCTTGAAACTAGTATCTGTCTATTATCGTTGTAAGTCATCCTTATGTCACTTATGCTGATATCACTGACTCGTATAGTAATACATCAATCCGCTACACTCCATTCAGAAGCGTAAATTTGGTGTATAATAATATTCCAGCACCAGAGTCCTGAGTGGTTTGTTTCAGCTTGATTATCCAGCAAATTATTACCATTGAAGAGTATTTCTCTAAGATTGATATTACTGTTAATTTACATTTGTATTAAATTAAGAAACAAAGCTTGATAATTTAATTCGTCAACTTCTTTACTGGACCCTGGTTGTTTTTAATATAGCAATAAACAGGTTGAAATATCGAGAAAAATCGGCAAGTAGGCCAAGTTAAAAATCAAAGTATCTTTAACATTCTTTTCAAATAATTTTAAGTAAATTAATTTGCACATAAAATCATTTATTTAACATGCATTTTGCTATACAAAGATGTTCACAAGTATGTAGTTCTTCCAATATAAACAATGATTTTTTTGTCTTCAGAAATTATTTTTGACTTGTTTCTTTATCCATTCACAGTCCTCATAATATCTGGAATCTCCAAGTCGATAAATTGTTCTCTTGTAAAAAAAGTAGTATAATACTGACCCTTAATTGAAATTTAGCAGAAAACAAACGAAACATGTAGTCATATTAGCTCATCTGTACAAAATAAAGAGAGAATCTATCTCTATAAAGTCAGTCAGTCTAATTTATTTATTTGTCAAGTACTTGGAAGAGAAATTATGTAGGATAGAAGTTATAATAGAATACATAGTTGAGAGACGGTAAAGCTTCTACTATCCACAGTGATACATTTTGTCACTTTGGCATATCAGAGTTATGTCACCTAGAATTTCTAGAAGTATTATATATATATATATCGTCAGCTTTTATCCAATGCACTATAGTCGTTTAAAGTATTTGAGATTAGGTTGTTAGTTTTGAAACCAAACTCAGCGTAGATGCTTGATTTCTACTTTTTAGTTAAAATTGTAAGAGATATCATTTTCAGGGTGTCTCAATGTGCTCACTTGATTTGATAAACAAATATTATAACTTATTTTCAAACAGTTTCACATCACAAATGGAAGTGGATGTCGCATACATAAGCATGTTAGTAGGGTCTTTATGAGGTGTTTAAAAAAGACTAGATTTTTCGTCTTAATAATTCTTGGTCATTGTGTTACACAGGGGCTTAAAAAGCTGGGAATTATCAACATATTTGTGTTGTTAGAATTAAAATCAAAATTTAATACGAATGGATGAAAATATCTTGATTATCTTTGAAAGTTAATTGGATCTGTATGCATATTTAAACTGATTACTATAAAACTCACTATAAGATGTTTTGATAATCAAAATTAAGTACAAATTTTATCTGACATTTATCAGTAAATAAAAGTGTGGTAAAAATATTAGAATTGTTGCCAATCCTTCAAAAATCTACTACTTAAAAGTTATCTTTGGTTTAATATGTCTTACGCCTATGTGAATTCGGAAATGAGAATTCTGCACTATTTTTAGTGAAATATAATATCATATAGTTGAGATCATAAGTCAATTGAAGCTAGACCTGGTTGAACTCCACTGGTTACTGCTTCTCACCAGAACTCCAGGAAATACCTCATGGAGCCAGGTCTGTTGGGAGATATCAACTCACTGAAGACATTGGTGAATGGTTGCTCAACTTCGTGGATTGGTTAAAGTTAGACATTAACACAGTTAGATGCCGGCCAGCTCAGTGGTCAAGTGGTTAAGCGTTCGAGCGCGAGAATGATAGGTCCTGGGTTCAAATCTCGCGAGGCTGGATCGTGGATTCGCACTGCTGAGGAGTCCCACGATAGGTTTAGCTTCAATTGGCTCATGATCTCAACTATATAAAATTACTAAAATCTCCATAAAACCCCTGCAAATATAATATTGCAAGTTTTAGGACTATCATTTCTATAGATCCACTTACTCATTTCATTCGAATAATGGTTTTCATACACTACAGCTGGGTTGGAATGCTGTGACTACCATATTTAAGTACTCTTACATTCAAGTCAAATTATAATATAGATATCCATCATGACACATCCTCATAGTGATTAGGTTGTTCTGCTTCCATGCCACGGTTAGAGAACAAATAGAACCTTACCAAGTGAATTTTGAACTTAAATACAAAGAGAATAAAACTGTAATATGTACAAGGAGTGACTGACAGCCTTATGTACCATTTTCGTCTGGCGCAATGATTGGTCTGTATTAGTCATTCCCAATGAATTTCTGTAAACAAACCAACACTCATTGATCAGTCTTTAAAGGTAGGGATATATTCAGCTTGATGGTCAGCGTTCAACAGTCGCTATTTGGGTTAGACTGGCTATCAATAAATAAACACGAAATGCAGGCATTTTTGTTGGACTTCAGCATATACACTACTAGATTCTTCAAGTGTCAAGATCATCTTTATTGAATGAACCAGGCTACAGGCCATAGCATTGAGAGACAATATTTTCAGCGAGATTGGTTCATATATTCCATGATTATATGAATTACTGTATGAGATTGTATGCAGTTGCAGTATCTTTAGAAGATAACTAAGCATTCTTATTGATCTTGAACTAGTTCCTTTTTCTGTCATAAGCAATTTGTATTTGAAAGTGTGGTATTACATAACGTCTCTTCATCACACGATAATCACCCAGCTATTACCGAACCGAAGAACTTTCCCTCAGTCAGATGTACTAGTAGTCGTGCTTCTCATCTGTGGTCGTAAGCATCAAGAATCTCCCCTGCTTAGAAACCGGAGGTCTAATATGATATTTTCAAATAAAATATCTGGGTTACTCATTTGCTTACTTACTTACTCCTGTTACTCCTAATGGAGCATAGACCGCCGACCAGTATTCTCCAACCCACTCTATCTTGGGCCTTCCTTTCTAGTTCTATCCAGTTCTTGTTCATTCTCCTCATGTCTGTCTCTATTTCTCGGCGTAATGTGTTCTTTGGTCTTCCTCTTCTCCATCGGCCTTCAGGACTCCATGTGAGGGCTTGTCTCGTAACGCAATTGAGTGATTTACTCAAAGTGTGCCCAATCCACTTCCAGCGCTTTCTTTTGATTTCTTCCTCCGCTGGAATCTGATTTGTTGTCTCCCACAGTAACTTGTTGATGATAGTGTCTGGCCATTGGGTCCGAAGTATCTTGAGTAGACAACTGTTAATAAACACTTGTATCTTCTGGATAATGGCTTTCGTATTTTTCCACGTCTCCGCCCCATGCAGTAGAACTGTATTGACATTTGTATTGAAAATTCTAACCTTGGTGTTGGTTGACAATTGTTTTTAGTTCCAGATGGTTTTCAGTTGTAAATATGCTTCTCTTGCTTTGCCGATCCGCGCCCTCACATCTGCATCTGATCTGTCATGTTCATCAATGATGCTGCACGGATATGTAAAGGTTTCCACATCCTCCAAAGCTTCTCGATCAAGTGTGATTTGATCGGTGCACGCTGTATTGTATAGAAGATAATTGCTTTTTCCTTTGTTCATAATGAGACCTACTGCTGCTGCTACACTGGTAGTCTTCTCCTGCATTTGTTGTTGCGTGTGTGATAGAAGAGCCAGATCATCCGCGAAGTCTAAATCGTCCAGCTGCATCCTAGCTGTTCATTGTATATCGTGATTTCTTCCAGATGTTGACGTCTTCATGATCCAGTCGATCACCAGGAGAAAGAGTGAGAGTAAGCAACCCTGCCTAACACCGGTCTTTACTTCAAACGAGTCGGTGAGTTGTCCTCCGTGGACGAATTGGCAGTTTAGTCCATCATAGGAGTTCCGTATGATATTGTTTATCTTTTCGGGAAGCTGACAAAGTAATGTTTCGGACGAAACTAAAAAGTGCCCCTGATTAACACTGGGATTCTTTACAAGCCTGGTTTTATGGTCAGACTAAACCGCAACATTATACGTGAATATAAACTGAGAAGACAAGTGTTTAATGACGTTTCCTTGAGTAGGGTTTTACAAATATGTATTAGATTGAAGAGTCCTTATACTTACATGTCCTCTGAAAAGCAAAAAGCATTTGATATCCAACTGAAGAAGGCATTTTATCAGAGTCGTTCCATCTCCATATCTAAAAATGGGTAATATTTATAAACTTTCGTACCGTTCCCCAGCAATGTAAAGAAATACTCAAAACCAGATAACACAATGTGACGAGTATAACATCTTTGAATTGCGACAAGAGCAAATTTATATAGCCCGCTTGAAAAACAAACGTGCTTGACAGAAGTAGGCAAAAAATCAAACTACAGAATAGTATACATAGATCCTGAACACTAGAAAGAAATCATGAATTAAATAGTGGGATGCTCTTACACATATATTACCGAAAGATTAACATTAACGTGACTAAACAATTCAGAAGATGCATTAGCAAACAAATCGTATAATAATAGCAAAAACTGCACTAGTAGGACTATTTGGTAGCGCAGTTCGTTCATGTACGCGGACTGATTTAGCACCATAGGAATACAGAAGTTACCTATTTAAACAAACTTGTGCATACGCAAAGCGTTTATCATCACCTTGAGAAAGTGGGATGAGCATCTTGACACATGTAAAGTGGCGTTGAATGAAGAAAAGTATTTAGACCTTTGTTAATAGCTATACCCCAATGAGGGAGTTATATGGTGTCACATATTTGATAAATTTTGTAACCGAAAAATAGAGACCGTATCTTGTTTATATGTATGACGCCTCATGTATAATCGCACTTAATTTCCAATATCTATTATTTGTTTGTATCGGCTACGAATGAACATTATTAACTGGTTAATCAGTAAACACGTTGCTGGTGGTTATGAAGTAAATTCTATCTACGTCATTCACTCTTCTACTTTATCTGCCACATTCTTTGGTGGTGTTACGACATCACGTGAGGACCTCCTACACTAAATAAGACTCTTGAACTAGATTATTATTCAACAACAGTATCGTGTTTATATTCCATTTCACGACGTCGGTACCAACCGTGCAGAACATTTCTTAGTAGAATAAGCCCTGTTTGTGGTCGTTACCTCAGAAAGAGCTTACAAATGACGTTCATTCCGTAACAATCATTACCATTCTTTATGAGATGTACCATTTGGTTGTGATTGCTATTCTGTTAATGTCTTCTAACTTATATAGAGTTATTTCTCTTCATTAGTATTTATTTGTGTTTTGTATATTATTATTGGCTTTTTAAATAGCTGCATATCAAATAAATTATCTTATTGGGTCCACCACACTGCTGACAAAGTTGGTCTGATAACTTGACCGCGAGAGTCCTGGAGGTGAATAATTTGAATGAGATGAAAGAGTGCTGCAAATACTGTGCCTTGTAAATGTTTTCTATTATTATTTGTTTCATATTGCGATAGCATTATGACACAGTTCTGTACCAGTGACTTCAAATAGGAAGTTCTTATTCCTTAATTCTGTGTCTTTTTAAACAGTTGCCGTCTCAATGTGTGTTTACTGGCTTGTTGGACTATTTTATAACCATATTCGGGAGCGGAGCTAATAATTTTTCTACTACTTTTTTTATTGCATTCCTAGAATCGGAGACAGATAAGACAAGTTCGAATTAACAAATAATTAAGTCAGGGTTTTTAAAGATGATTAAGAAATATGAGTAAGATGAGGGAATAAGAAACAGAAATGAAAACATGTTAAAATTATAAAGGGTAAACTGAATTATTTAATTTCATACCACTGTACATTTAACATATTATTGTGGCGAATGGAGAACAGTCAGTAAATTTCTAAATGGTCATCTAGTACTCGCTTCATAAAGTCTACTGACGAAACCATGGATGAGTTAGCTAAAATACCTTTCATATAGTGCCACTTCACCGTGTGTCATAGTAAGATTCCCTCAGAATGATCACCTTTGGAGTGAGCAGATTTTTCACTTAAATTGTCGTGATGGCTTCCAATAAGACTATCGTGTTTGCTTGCCTCGAATTACCGAATATATAGTTGTTGTGACAGTCACCTCTCTTTTCCTCCACAGCTAGACGAAAACAACTGCGATCTTGGTACATCCCATCCACTACACCTACAAAATCTTGTTTCATGCTTCCGGAATTTCTGAAAAAGGTTCATATTCTTTTTTGGAGGGGCAATGCAACAATATTTGAAGAGCATTAAAAACCGGTTTTAGGGTGGATTAACCGAGTTATCGACGAAGAAAATGAAGAGTAGGCTATTTAGTTTTCTCTGTTGGAACAGCGAATTCAGTACCTCGTCCACTGAATTATAATCTAACTAGCAGTCGAAAACTCCTTCATACTGAATTGCCTAAACCAGCAACTCTGGATAAGGTGAGCCGTTTCATTGTTTTCATCAGCCTGACCTGTTTGACCACATGTGGAATATTGCCTCTGTTATCTGTTGATTCTGTAATTGTTTCTTAGGTCGAGGTCTGACGCTTGATGCAAAAACTGATAAACTCACTTGAAAGTCTTGGAGGTTTCATAAAAACGATTTCGGCTTGATAACACTCCGCATCTGTTTCGACAGCTATTCTCATTCCTAGTATTCCCACTGACAGGGATCCTGTTTACTGAATAGGACTTGAGTATGACATAAGGTAGCTCTTAGTTGTCGTCAGAAAGCTCTCACTAACCCATTAGCTTATTGGTGGTACTCTGCATATAGTATATCTTGAGTTCCCAGAAATTTTGAAAAGTTGTTGAATGACTCACATTTAAATTAGACTCCTTTTCAGCTGTTACTATGACAGCTACTCAGTTCCAAATGAAGGCCTTCAATACCGTTTCCGTTGTGATGTCAGTTATAATTATGGCCATTGAAACCCCTGTATATCTGTCCAAGCATGTACATAGGTAATTAAAGCCATTATACCGCGATAACTGACCTACCAGACCAACGCACACGTAGATAAGGGTCAATCTAGTTGCGATAAAACTGCAATGGGTAAATTCGTCTGATGGTTGACGTTTAGCTGTCTGCCCACTGGGCCCTTCATAAATACACATATGCACATTCTTCTGTGAATTGGGTTGCATACATCATGTTTGTTAGTTTAGTGTAGTCTCTTGTATCACTATGGGACAAACTGTGAAAATAATCGTATCGCGAGTGACAAGTTAAGTAATTTCTTTCCTTATGTTGATGTGGAATAAACTGCCATCCACGAGTGATACTTGCTGTCTGAATTTGAGTCTAGGCTGCTCGGTTAAAATTAAGTGTTCATATCTCCTTTGCCTTATTTTGGAAATGTTGAATGACAGGGTGAATCTTGAGAATTGTTCATCTGGAATTTCAGCATTAGCTATATATCGGAGCCCCTCGTTTTGTGGAGAACGCAGTCCATTGCGACACGTTTTCAACCATATCATTAAGGAAGTTATCTACTGACTTATCCGAAGAGTTAACGACCAAACTGAGGATAAAGTTAGAGATTGGACAGATTAACATGGATGATTTGTTAAGTCCATTCCTTGGTTATTTAATAGTCTAATGAGCTAACCCACAATCTTTTGATTTTATCTTAAGGGCATCCGTTAGGTACTGGATGCGTTGTTCCTAATCAGATTTGAATTAGCGGTTAGGTTCAATTAAGCTCACAATTCAGCGAAGGATATTGTTCAATTTCATCCACCTCTTGTTCTCTGGATTTCGCAAGCCTGAGAGCACGTTTATTTCTAATTGCATGAGTAATTTTTGGATCGCTTTGAGAGTCTGAAAACAAGCTTTGTTCAGTTACAAAAATTTTATGAATACATCCCAAGACTTATATCTTCTACTATCAGGGCTTGTACCGAACCTAGCAAAACCACTTAATTTGCTTGCTCACTGTGCTGATCTAAGTCTCAATCAGTAGCATAATAAGCCAACAAGAAATTCATATATTCCACGAAGTTCATTTCAAGTATTCTTGTATTTAGTTCTGCGGTAGTGAAGTGAATTTTCGCTTTAACTTCAAGTCTAGTATTAGAACCTTTTCTATTGGGTTAAAGAGCAGCTGAAGAAGTTTGTCATCAAAGGTATTATCCTGTGGGGTGACGCTAAACGTTTCATTGGTATCTCTTGGAAAGATTACACTAAAAATTTTGTCCTCAACACAAAATAATAACTATTTAGGATCTATTCTTTAACAGTCCTTATCTAAGAAGAGGTCGTGTATTTCCCACAAATTTGGACATCTATTTAGATTATGTATCTGGTTGATTTCATACATTTGACTTGCAATCGAACTTTTTGTAGCGTCGGTAAAGCTGTCCAAATTGTGTGAGCCGCGGTGGTCATTTCAGGGGCAACACAGAACAGGAATCTTGGTATCGAACCGTCCGTGATCTAAGTTTATGTCTGTCACGATATTTTCCAGTTGAGTAAACCACAATTTAGAGCCATTCCAACCGAACTCAGGACATCTAAATTCTTCAGCTACTAGCAGTGTCTGTCTGTACTGGAGGAAGGTTATACTTAATTTTCTGATCCTCGTTTAAATTTAGAGCACAAACATAAGATATAAGATTGTTTTATGTTTGCTGGTTCAGTAATTGATAAGTAGTTTATTTGTGACATGTATCACGACAAGCCAATGCATCACCACGGAACTTTTAATTTTTTCTTAAGTGGATAGCCTGATGATTTATGAGCGTTGTACTTTCAGCTTATTTCCAGTGATAGAACGAGTTATTGATAATTATTTACAACTAGAGAAAGTAAGATTAAAGCAAAGAGCACGGAACAATAAAATAATGATTGCCAAACTATGCCGGTCAGGTTTTACACTGTTCATGTTAGATATTATTCAAACGAGTTAGAGTTGCTAGTGATAGTGTTAATGTAAAGTGACAGCAAGTAAGTAGTTAAAAATTTAAAGTTCCTATAATCTCACTTATGGAGTAAGATACACTTACAGGCGCTAGAGCATTTAATGCATTTTCAGAGGAGCAGTATGTATCAATGGAGCGAACAAATAGTGTAAGAAATTTTATCGTACGGATAGTTTGTGGTAGATTATTCCAGAGTCTAGAACATTTACAGCAAAGTGATTCACATAGAGAGAAGATGTAGAATATGTTTGTTTCACTAAAGACAAGCAGTTACGAATGTCGTAATGTGAGGTTTCAGTATATTGAATCGCTTGGTTTGATAATAATAATTTATTCTCAAATAACAAATTGTTACATGAGGAATGCCGGTTTACAGGCAAGATCAAATTGTTAAAGAAGTTACAATTTTCACTGTTGAAAATTACTCAGCTGGGTTGATATTTGATAAGGTATGAATGTAAATAGATTTCGTAAGAAACATATCAATATCACACTTGGCGCACTTTATGGAGGTAGCGTTGCAACATACAACTGATGATCGAGAATAGGTACATGCGAAGTTGGGGGATTTTAGAAGTTTCGAACTTATATCCCTCCGGAATATCTGAGGCTTTAATAACGGTGTAGGACGAAGTCACCCGTGCCATATACGTTTTCGGTGGAGTATCTGCAGGAGGCTGAAAAAGG